CCCTGAATTTGATATAAGAGTATTGTCTGTTGACAAGCTTGTAAAAAGCGAGTGTCGAGTGCGTTCTACATTTGCTATCTGGAACAAAAAAAGGCAAATCCATCGGGTTTAAGGATCGATAAAGCGTACAGGCTCAACTGTTATAAGAAAAATTAGCGACGCTCTGTCGAAGCTTTGGCAATTTGCATAGATCACCCAAACAATGAGTCCAATACGGACGGTCAGAGGGAAAGGAAAAGTATATCCTCACTTTTGTTGATGACTTTTCAAGATATGTTGCGATTTTCTTGATCAAGGACAGGAATAAAGCATTCGATAAGCATAAGGAGCTTAAGACTTTTAATCTAAAATCAATGGTGTGTTCGTCTCAAATGTTTGAGATTTGATAGCGGAATAAAAATCGTTAACGAATCGATGGGAGACGCATGTCGTCGGAGTGGTAATGTTCACCAACGTTAAGTTCCATATAGCCCTCAGCAAAATGGGGTGACAGAGCGCATTTACAGGACTGGCATGGAAATGGCTCACAGTATGCTATTCTACAAGCCGTTTCGACTATATGGTGGGCGACATCACGCCATATGAGTTGGCTTTTTAGGTAAAGTCTTAGATGGATCACTTTAGCGGTCGCAGGTTCTTGCTCTAGCTGACGAGGGAAAGAGGAAATGCTGACGCTACAAAGATAACATACTGACGATGCAAAGATAACAAAGCTCGACCCAAGAGCTCTAAGTGTATATGGGTGCAGCGGGAAATGTCTAGGGTTATCGCGTGATTCACTCAAAGAATGTTATAGTTAAAGTGACTCGCCGTATGAGGTTGAAATAGCGTGAAGTAGGTAGTATTAGGGATATGCATGCGCTACAGCCAAAATCGATCATCAAACTTATCAAGGACGGAGATGATGTTTCTGCTCAGATTCAAGCAGATTGACAGCTAGTTCGAAATGAACCTATGGAAAATGTCGGAAAACAGTCGGAGACGTCAAAATGAACTATGTTGATCGCACACCAAGTGTCAGTATACAGCAGCTGATGACTTCCGAGCATTTTGATGAGAACGGGTATCGTCCGTTTCTTGTACTCGTCAAAAAGATCGTTTGGTGGTCTGGAATGAAGTGGAGCAAACAAGACGAAGCCACGAGCCGATGCTTATGATACGGAGCTGTTCAGATATTCCAAAGGCGATAGAAGAAATTGATGGTTCACCGACACCATTAAGAAAATTGAAGATGACGACGAAGACGAACTCATTGCCGATGCTGTTCTGCGCACGAGGTGAGAAGTGAAGATAATACGGGCTTGCCGACTGCATATGCTTAAGCAATGGCAAGCAACGATGCGGCGATTAGATGCGAAACTATTGAGGCTGAGCTTTGCTTCCATGAGCAGAACCGAACATGAACATTAGAGACAATTGCTTAATAGGGTCACGGTTCGTATTTGCCATTAAAACGGCACTTTTTTGCGGTGCAAGGCACGATTTGTCGTGAATAGTTTCAAGCTATAGTATGGGGTTGATTTCAACGAGACTGACCCCTTCCACGGTCGCCAACAAGAATTCAATCTGGATGATACTTGCAGTGCCGAATGCGACTACCATATGGATAGCTGGATGTCGATACTGCTTTTCTAAACAGTGTGCTATCAGACAACGGTTAAATAGAAGTTCTGCTGGGTGTCGACAATGCTCAGGGGATAGGGATATCAATCATAAAGAGCGACATACGGGTAGAAACGAGCACCAAACTCCTGGAACAAGATAATACATCGTGTCGTAGTGAACAATGGTTTTCAGGGCTACAGGGGTTAGGCTGGTGCATTTATGTCAAGCGATTAATCAATGTGGATGACATGATTGCATCAGCGAGAACAAGCAATGCCATTAATCTAGTAAAGCAAATGCTCAGAAATACCTTCAAGATGAAGGAGCTGGGCAAGGTGAAAATTATTTTGGGCATGGAGATTTGACAACGCCAGATCAGCCAAATCTTATCATCAAGCAGGCTTGCAACATCGACGTCGTGATCAATCAATTTAGTTAACAAGATTTCAAGAGTGTCGACAACTCGTGCACTTCAGGTTTAAGTTGTCGTCAACGCATTCGCCCGCAACTGATCGGATGCCTGCTGTACATTACTTTATGTACTCGTTCGAATGTTGCATACGTGATAACACAGCTGTCATGTATTCAGGAGAACCCCGGGCTGCGATATTGAAATTCAGCTATTTGCGTGTTGCGCTACCTGAAGATGACACGTCTTACCAGTACCTCTACCAAGGCAATAGTAACATTGTGGTTAACGCATGTTCAAATGATGAATAAGGCAGCAATAATGATGCCATTTCTTCGATCTCAGTATTTATTTCATGATTACAGGCCTGTCAGTGGTTTTTAAAGTTAAAGTATCAGCGAGCAGTTGCAATCATGTCGGCGGAGGCTAAGTATATGGCTCTCAGCCTTTGCACTCAAAAGCTCTTTGGACGCGGGCGATGTTCGATGGCATATTTCACGAACAAGTGGACGGATAACAAATTTGAAGAAAAGCAAAGAAGTGATCGCATTAAAAGACAGCGTCAGATACCATGCTCGAACGAATTATGTGGACATAAGCCTCTACTCCATACGCAAGTATGTGCAGATAGGAATTTTGGAGATCGACTACATCGACACGAAGCATCGTCTTGCTGATATGTGGCGAAGACACTCGGAACCAAGATGCTTGTGTTTATAAGCGAGGAAGCGAGTTTCAATATCAAATCAATGCTAAGGATGTTGAGTTTACGCCGTTGCATGCTGTTGGAGACTACTTGACATGCCTAAGTGTTACATTTTTCGCGCAGAAAAAACGAGCTCAAATTAGCCTAGTATTTGACGCCTGATTACTTCACATTCATGATTGAGAGTTGTATTTTGAGAGGACAAAGTTTAATAACACAGTAATTCAGGCTCACTGAGGTGTATCTAGCCAGCACTTCCGTCCCTTCGTCCTTCTTCATGCTTTACTGACCATTGTTTATTATTACGGCACAGTAATCTGGAATGGGTATGACAATGGTTGGACGAGAAAGAATGGCAACATGGTAAACTTTTCTCTTCAAATTTTGCCATCGCATCAACAGTTTCCATCTTCATAATCAAAGCAACGAAGGCATAAAGGAGACTCTTCGTACTGTATCTCACATCACAAAAAGTAGGTAGTTCTACCATGAGCTTTACTGGGTTTATCAAGTGATCAACTCTGATGCATAATGTAGAAATTCAAATCGCAGAAAACTGAATACAGTCGTCCCTCGGATAACTCGTTTCCGGGTAACTCATAACCTTGCATAATTAATAAAAATTTGCTCCACCAAATCCATTTGTATGTAGCCAAGTACTATCCCATAATTGGTCGGATAACCAATAACCTTGACTGACTCATATATACTTTCTTACCGCATTTATTCGTAATCAGAGGGGCAACTGTAATACAAAAACTCTTTTCAGGTTGACTAACTCTAATTGTCTTTACAATTCAAGTACACTCGATAATGTGGCCTGTCGACGACGTCGGTCCACAAGACGTTCCATATGATAGCGGAATCCACCACTCTAATCGAGAAGAGTCGGCGGCGGACGATGACGACTTGATCGATCGCCGTCCGGTGACGCGCGATGCTCTTCGAGCTTTGGAGGACAAACTCCGTCGTCATCGGCACATCGCTGAGCATCTTTCCGAGGTCGCCTACCGCTGTGCGGAAGACCTCGAGAGCCTGGGGCATTTTGTGCACAGACTGCTTCACGTTGAGGATAATCGTGCTCTGTTGGAGCGGCTCCTAGCCGTCAAGCACACGAATACATCAATTCGTGCGACGGTGGAGTGCCTTGCGCTGTTAGAATCGAAAATTATTGCACTCCGTGTTCGGAACATGTTGCTGTGCAGCTTCTGGGTGGTCGACAGCCTTTGGGCGCTGCCCCGGCGCCAATGCTTCCGCGTTCACTTGCGCCGGATCTCGGTACAGCTTAAGCAAGCCCACACAAAATTCCGGTTGTATGTGCATCCTTCTCAGAGGATTCAGCGTATACGCAAGGCTTCGCTTGGCCACGACCTTAAAAGGTCCAATAAACCGCGGACAGAGCTGTGTCTCAAAGACAGCAGAGATTGCATGTGTAGGAATGTTTTAGGCATTTAATAAAACCAGGTCTCCGACCTCAAAGTTTACTACATCTCTTCTGCTTCTTCCATCTGCATATTCTTTCTGCATGTCTTGGCTTTCAGCCATCGCATCGCGAACATGTCGTAAGACATACAGTCTGGTTAACAGGAAGTTATTGACTTCTTTGCGGACGGTGAGTGGGCTGACATCAGCTAGCCGTTCGGCTATTCCTTTTCACCAAGCCCTGAGCCATGGGATGATATCAGCGGGACAAGAGGATCAACAAGCCCGTTCACGTAGAA